ATGCCGGTCAGGCCCAGCTTTGATAGTCAACCGCGGCTGTTTGTCCGCCCATCAAAACCCCCTTACCCATGTGTCCGCCAATGTGTTTCTATAGCGATTTTTCCACCTGCTCCTGTGTTTCCACTTTCGTATGGCCACTTTCAGTCACGTGTCCAATGCAGGGTAATGTATGGAGAGGCATCGGGTCGCCCTATATGTCAATTTATGTCTGCGGTGGCGAGAACTTACCTCCCTCGCCTGGTATACAAGAGGTTGTGAGTTAAATTTCGACCCTGACTCCTGCTGGATATTTGGAATTTGGGTGTCTCTCTCTCTCCCCGCGGTCACGTGGAATTTTCACCGGGCCCTCCGGTTTTTCCCCTCCACATTTAGAATCAACATCGCCACGCGTTTAGAGTATTTGGCGGCTTTACATTTTCACACGATTATGTCGATGATAGCCTTCTGCCTCGTCGAGCTGTCACCTGCGATGGCCAGGTCGCTTCTGAAAAAGCAGCTATATAGCTCAGTGGGCCTCGACCTGATAAAATAAATATTGTTTATAGTCATAGATTAGTTTAGTTTGGTCTTGGCATCCGTCCCTTTCCCCCGCTCATTGAGCCGCCACCTTGGCCGCTGCCCGACTCCGCCGCTGCTGCCGCCCCCCCCCCCCGTGCTGCTCCAACGGGTAACACTTTTGTTTCCTTTTTTTAAAATCTACGAACGTAAACGTTTTTTTGTTTGTTTTACGGAAGCCCGTTTTAAATTCAAACCTGAGCGGAGAAATGCGGCGTAGGGAAAGAAAATTAAACAAGTGACCGGGGCAGTGCCCACCGTTAAGTGAAATGAGCCGTTGCCTTGTGTGAAGTCGAAACCTGACTGCAGATCATTAGCGTCTGACGAGGTGTGAAATGAAGCAGAGGTTCTCCGCGACTTCGTGGGCTTTACTGGTTGGTGAGCGAACGTGTGCTCTAGTATGTGTACGGGAGAGGTGGGTGGGGTGGGGTAGGTTGGAGGGGAGAGGGGGGTGTGGGCCTTGTTGGTTCGTACATTGCCCTCGTAAGTCCGGCAAGCTGGGTTCGATTTCCGACCACGGCTTACTCGTACACAAACCCATCCTGGCGCCCCGCTGATCAGCGCGGTGAAGTATGGTCAAGCAACCCCCGTGACTGGCATGGCATGCGGATCGACGGAGAGCTCCGTATTAGTATGGTGGAATTTTTTTTTTACCACAATACTACTCACAAACATGTTCACAAACCCACTCATGTGCCGCGAAGAAGTACCACGAAGAAGTACCACGGCCCACAACGTCACCGTCTACAGGTTGTCGTTGCTCTGCACGTGCTCCGTTTGCGCGATTTCGCGCCGTTCACTCTGCTGACCTTTTTGAACCCAAAATTCGCTCTATTATGAGGTTAGAATGCACCTGCAAGCGGCTATGCGGTCAGAAGTGGCACACCATTGTGTGTGTGATGTGCACGCCACTCGGCACAACGCGACCGCCCGTGTCTGTGCAGCCGGTGACTCCACTCCCCTCTCTCGGTCTCGGACGCTTGCGCTCGTCGCATGCCGATTCGGCAACGAGCAGAGTTGCTCCGGGTGTCACCGTGCTCGGAGCGACCGTCCGCGAACCGCGATAAATCTCGCGCGAGCGTCGCGGGGATAAATCTACGAGCGGTGGCAACTCCCCTACCCCGCTCCTCCTGCGGTTGGGTGTCACTTGTGGAAAAAACCACCCCTCCGGCTTTTTCCCCGACTCCCGAGGGTCCGGTCACACATTAGGCAAGAACAACTCGGTGCGTAAGCGGGCAGAGAGAGAGAGAGCGCGGGTGAACACTAACAAAACAGCAGTGACACCAATAACGACGACAACTACAGCAGCAACAACAACAACAACAAGAAGCTGCAGAAAACTTCGGTGTTTTTTGGCGGAGGTGTCGGCCGAAGCCGAGAAGCCGGCTGAATGAGAAGTCAGCGAAGAATCAGAGGGAGAAGCCCAGGCGTCCCCCCGCCCCCCGGGTGTGAGCGAGCACATGTCGCATATAAACGAGTCGCGCGCCGCGGATACACGTCGCGCGGAATGGAGAGAGTAGATTGCGTTGTTTCCGACTGCGACCGTATCGTTACCGCAAATCTCGTTAGCCTCTGGCCCAAAGTCATTTCAGGCGTGACCCTCTTCCCCGTATTAATGCTGTTTGTCTTTTTTTTGCTCGCGAATGATCTATTTGGCGATTGGTCATTTAAACGCGCGGCCTGTTTGGTTTCCGACCCGCCTAATTATTTTAGCGTTACTTTGTAGATCTATACCGCACCTTCGCGAGTTAATTGTTTTCTTCTGATCAATGGCGATTGCGTTTTTTTTGTTGGTTCGGAGTCGTATCACTTACCTTTAACTTACCGCTGCTGCATATCTGTTTGTTCAAATGGATACGGACAGATGGCAACCGTGCACCGTTACGCGTTGTGTTAGTGCTGCAGGATTGCCTGTCTCGTCGGCTTTGGAATGGCTCCGGCTTTATCAACAATTACAAGGCCGCCTCGGCAGTCACGCCACGTGCGCTCTCGCCGCTGCCGCGAAAAATCCACATCCGCGTTTTTTTTCTAACTCCGCCCGGCGTCAAAAACGGCGCGAGAGATGAAGCCTTCGTAGAAGCGCCGTGCCATCTCGGCCACGTTACACCCACGTCGTCGTTCGTCGTCGTCGTCGTCGTCGTTGTTGTTGTTGTTAGAATTTGTTTTTGTCCCCGGTAAATGGGAAGTTATTTTTCGTCGCGCTTTTTTTTTTTACAGCGGTGCGCAAAATTACGAAAAGGGGGAAGAAGAAAAAGAAAATGGTGGTGAAACAAATAAATATATAAAGCAGAATTTACCCAAAAAAGTCTGCTTGTTTTAAAAGCTTTTGCGTGTTAGCAGCATCTCGGCGCACATGAACCTAATTAAAATGAGATTACTCTGCCACAGAGCGGAGCTGCCTCTGAGCCCTCCGTCCGGTCAAGCGTGAGCGTGTGATGTCGGCCCTTCTCCGCAGATATTCTCAGCGGCCCACTCTCCCCCCTCCCTTCCCCCTCCTGCACCCCCCCCTCTCCTGTGCCCCCGCTGCCGCCCCCGTCGCCCGCCAGCACTTTCCGCCACCTTTTTTTGGCCAAGTTTCTACGCCTGTCCCTCCCGGGCCACGGCTGGAAATGAAAAACCCACAAAACTTCGTCTGCCAACAACCACCGCGATTCTATCCCCCAGCCACCCACCCCTGCCCCCACCACCCCCCCCCCGCAGCCCAACTTTCTTTGAGCACAATCCCAGAAAAAATTAAATGCATCCAAGGAAAGAATTGCTCGTCTGAAAAATTTAACAGTTTTAAAATGTACTTAAACAAAGCAACGGTGCTCAGTGAGGACACAATTACGAATGTAAGCCTTGGTTTTCCTTTTCATTAACAGTTTGTACTGAGTCATGTTTGAGTTACGGAAAGCCTTTCATTAGTTAAGATAAAAGTATTTCTCTTAACTCTTCTCGCTCCTTGCCATCGCACGCGAAGAACATTGTGTACTTTGTATTTAAGCGGAAATGCAATTACGTGTTTGTCAGTTGATTTGACCGCTCCGTAATGAATTTCACACTCGGGGATTCGGAGAAACATTCGCACGTGTTGTGCGCCGCCATATCGCAATAGAAAATGGACCGAGGGTCTGTCACTGAACACACAGAAGTGTGTGTGTGTGGTTAACCTGTTTAATTCGCGACTCGCCCAACGTGGCGTCGCGTGACGTTGAGCCGTTGGGACCCGAGCTTTGTGCGCGTGGCACCGGGGCGGTCTCCGTCAGAGTAAGTTTTTTTTTCTTCTCTTTCCGCACGACGGTTTCACCTCGTAGCACCGGCGACCGGGCACACAAACGACGCGACGGATCCCGAATTGAAACGTTCATCGTGCGCACTCCCACCTCCTGCCCCACCCCGTCGCACCCCGCTCAGCCAGCGTTTTGGTTTCCGAAGGAATGGTTGGGTGGAGCAGTGTGGCCTGCCAGCACGTGTGGTGGGTTAATCCAGCAGTTAATTATTGGGGTGACTCATTTCGACTAATGAGAAATCACACTCCCACATTATAAGGATTGTCAAACACAAGCAAAGATTCAATGCACAAACATTAACTTTTAATAAGGTTCGGATGCATCACTTAACATTATCAAAGTAGGAATCAGTGTAATTATTTTTCTCGATTTTAATTGCGTGTGTGCTTAAAATAATGCACGTGTGTGTCTGTGTTTGCGCTTGTTTATACACAGTGTGTGAGCGGTAGTGTAGCGGTCAGCGTGCTACGCTACGATCCCGGCAACCTGAGTTCAATTCCCGCTCACGACTGCCAAAACCAGTGAAGATTGTCTGATCTGGTCCTGTGGCCGCCCCTAGGTCGATTCGGCCTCAAATGTGTACCTGGTGCGGCGTGTAAACATCGCCACTCAGGAGACGAAGGCAACCGAGCGTGGTGCTGTCCACCCACCCCTTCATGAGCTGTCAAGGCCTTCATATGCTCGCGAGCAGCACTTTCCTCAACTGGCTTGTGTAGGCTACACGGGAATCTGTCTTATACACATAGCATACTGCAATAATTCTGACTGCGCCATTATTTTGCTGAAGCACATTGCCTGACCATTGCGCCAGGTACATATTAAGGCTGAGTTGACCTGGGGGAGGGAGGGTGGGGTTGGTGGAGTGTTTGAAGTCTGATTAATATAGCACTTACCATGAATGTTAACCATGGCCTGGAATTGAACTGGTGTCACTGGGTTTGTAGCGCAGCGTGCTAAGCACTGCACTACTGCTCCCCACGTTCATACACACACACACGCCCACGAGTGTATATTTTCTGAAATATCTCGGAAGCAATTGGCAGCTATGTGGCATGTCACGAAAAATTAACAGCCATGTTTAGTTACCAATTAAAAATAAATTATATATTTGTTTCCAGCGTGTGCTCCAATTACTGCTTTCTTTATCTCTCTCTCCCGCCATGTGTTTGTCAGGTACACGTGTGACAAGGACTGTGTCGCACAAACCGGTGACATCACTGTCTCCGTGGTAACCTCCTTCCTCCCAGAATTCAGTTCGGTGAATCCTCCTCACTACTTCTTCACCTACAGAATAAGGTGACGTCCCCCACCCTCTCCCCCATGCCCCCCGCGTGCATTCTGTCAAATAATGCAAAAACACACACACACACACCTCGACGATACATGATTATTCCTGCATTCGCGCGGTTTTGTCTTGTTTTGTTCGTTGTCTTGCGTTTGAAAATGTAACATAGAGGGCGGTGTGTACACACTTGTACGTACACTCATGAACGTGTCGTCAGCTCACAATTAGGCATTGTACATGGGGTGGGTAGGGGTCACGCGGTTTAGGCATAGGTCATATGAGGAATGGATCATACGGATAGGGCATGGATCATATAAGGGATGGATCATACGGAACGTGGCTGAATTCGGCCAGAAAGATGTATTTTATCGTTCACCTACGGACAGCGGCAGTGAAGACACAGAATGCGTCATCTGTTTTTTTTCCTCTCTGATCTCGTCAAGGAGCGTAAACCACCATCACGCGATACTCCGGTCATCCTCGCAGCGGCAGTGGAAGCTTTTGGCTAGCCATGGAACAAAGACGGTGGTCACCGCATCATCGTGCGGCGCTTTCAGATGCGCTTCTGCGGCCGTCTGGAACACTCTTCCTTCCGATATTTTAAAGTCACTGGAGCTATGCACTTTTAAATTGTCTAGATTGAAAACTAATTTCTTTAGAACTGCTTTTTGTGTGATTAGTTTGTTGTCCTTCCCCCCCATCTCGACGATTAGCACGGGTGGCTACGTACGGTGTGAAAGAAGTTCAGCATATGTACATCCGTTTTTTGTTGCTTCCGTGAGGAGTCTGTGCTTATGAGGTCAGAGGCCCGCGATGAGTTTTATACAATTTTGATTTAAAGCTTTCGTGACTGCAGGGATTCATATTCTTGGTTCTTTCGGTAAAGTCACGTAGAAGGGAAACAACAAAATACTAAAAATATAAAACAATAAAATTATCACGACGTTTCGAATGCAACACAAGCAATCATCATCAGGTGTGAAAACCACAGCAAGAAAATTTGAAAAAAGTGGCGGTTATTTTTTCAAGAGACCTGATGGTTCAATGAGCCACTCTGTCTGCAGGAAAGTTACCCATACAGATGCTTACCTGAAACCGGATTCCCACCACCATCCATCCCAGAAGAATTCCCTCATCAAGACTCTGCATCATAGAGCCCAATGCATATCCGACCAGGAACACAGCCAGTGAACTCAAGCACGTACACCAAACTCTTAAGGCTAATGGTTACTCCGACTACACAATCCGCAAAGCTATCACTCCAACCATGAAGAAGGACCCTCTTGAGGAGCCTTTCAAAACCATCACTTTACCCTACATTGCGGGTTATCACAAAAAATATCTCCAAAACCTTGAATAAACACAAGATCCAGGTCCGATTCAACACATTACATAAATCCGTGATCTGGTTCCGTCTGTAAAAGATGTGATTCCGGACATACAGTACCCTGGCGTCTACAAACTAAGTTGCCTCTGTGGTAGTAGTTACATTGGAGAAACCAAACGACATGTCTCGGACCGCATTCGTGAACACAAAGCAGACATAAAACACGGTAGGACCAACACCTCGGCCGTGGCAGATCACTGTTATAATTCAGTAGGTTCACATGACATTGACTTCTCCAAGACAGAGGTTCATTTGCAAGCCATCTGGCTACCATGAGAGATTCGTTCATGAGGCTATCCACATATACAAACACAGAGACAATTTCAACCGAGAAGATGGATTCTGGCTTAGCAATCATTGGAAGGATTTGATAAACCATTTCGGGTCTTAATTGATTGTTCACGCTTACGGTGGCTTTAAGACCCCACACATTATTTTCGTCTCCCCCCTCTTTTCCGAACATAGATGGACTCGTCCATCTGAACAAACTGTCAAATCGCTCTCCGTGGTGCTTTATATTTTTATTATTTTGTTGTTTCCCTTCTACGTGACTTTACCAAAAGAACCAAGAATATGAGTTTTATACAGTTTATTTAGAATCGCCCTGTGAGCTAAGAAGCTCTTGAATCGGGTTTCATCAACAAAACAAAAAACTGTCAAATTGAAAACACAATGTTTGCTACAGGTCGCATAAAAATTCTGAATACAATAAATACAGCAATGAAAAAAGTTAACCAATTAAGAAAACGTACAATATATTACTTCATTATAAATTAAATATTTAACCACAGTGAACATTAAAATTAGAGAAATATATTGCAAAATAGTACATCTTGAGGGAGGAATAAGCTTCGATAGAATATTGCAAAAAGAGGAATAGAAACGCCTTTGGTAAAATAGTTTTCCTGCGCAAACAACAAATTTGAAGTAACACTTAGTAAGGAGCAGTCAACAATGAAACCAGCACGCGCTTGAAACCACTCTCTCTCTCTGTAGATATACAGTTTCTTTAGTTTAAAGAAAGATAAGTCATAATTGATCGTACAGCAGTAAAGGCTTGTCATTTGGACCAGGCACACTGGATTGAGGTTTGATGTCCCCGGCCCGGCAGTGGAAACAATGTCATGGGGTTTCTATATATGGCTCTGCCTCTGTCCACCCGGCAGTTTCAATGGGCACACCACAGTCAGTCGATCAGCTGGTCGCTTCCGGTAGAGTAAAGTGTGGGTGTTTCCCGCCTTGTGAAAGACTTGGCCAAAATGCCTTCCAGTGCTCCCCCTAGTTGCGGTTCTTATGCCAGGTGCGGTGGCGCGGACAGGAAATTGCAGGGCTGCACCACCTTTGCTCTCGTAATTTGCCTTTTTTTTAAATAACGCCAAAACACTTCATTTGATTTTTCCCCGTGGCACTCTCTCACAAAATTTGGAAAATGCCACCCCCTCTCCCGCCTTCACCGCGCCAAACGGTGTCGCACGCGACCTGCCCGACGCACCAGCGCCAATCCACGTGGGACCTCCTCCGGGTCTATAACTTTGTCACGAACGCCGGAGGATTTTCCGCATTAATCAGAGATGGCACAATAAGCGCAGCGAAGCGGGGAGGGCGCGTCCATATGTCGTGTTCGCGCGACTTATTCGAATCCGTTCCCGCAGAGGTTTCCCCCCCCATCGCCTCCCCCCCCCGGCCCCGAGGACAAAGAGGCCAGCTGACTTATGCCTGCACGGCACGCGGGTGCCTGCCGAGAGAATGGGCCTCGAGAAAAACATTTTAAAAAATGAAAACCTGTTCGCCTGTTCACAATAAGTTTGGGGGGGGGGGGGGGGGGGGGGGAGAAGACGCCGCGCTTGCCATTTAAATTTGGCGGCATGCGCTTTACGGGTTCTTGCCAAGACGGCATTCTGTAGAGGCTGGTGACACAGTAACTTTTTTCGAGAACGTGCGCGCATGTGTCACGACGGAGTGCATTCCGTCCTGCCAGTAAACATTTGCAGGAATTATTCATGTTCGTGCTATTGCAGCCATACCTTGGGAATAACCCTGATGCATTCGCGCCGGCGTGCGGTAAACAAGACTTGAGTGGTGGGGAAATCGAGAAATGGAAAAGTAGCGAATAACGGGCAAGGAAATGCGGTTTTGCTGCTCACGCAAGCAGCCTACAACTGTCGCCTCCTCCTCATCCTCCCAAACAAGGCAGGGCGATAAGCGGCCGCGCGCGGCGTTTCCGTGCGAGCGTTGATAGTCTCGCTTCACGCGGGTTCGCCCACGAATAAAAGGGGGACCCGGGTGATGTATTAAAAATTTAAAGCTGCCACCGATATGTCCAAAACGCCTGCCGCGCCGTATGAAAGGACACTTGGAGCAGCCTATTTGCCGTCTTTAAAAAGGAAAGAATGGAGATGAAACGCGCGGAACGCGCGCAAATGTGTTTTCGTGACGCGTTACTGGCCGTGTGTAAGTAAAAAAAAAAGCTCCAGAGTCTGCGTTTTCACCTCTCTCTCTCCGCTGCGATTTTTTCAGATTGCATCTCGCCAGAGGCGGGCTGAGCTGCCTTTCTAACGACACGCACGCATGTGATTATTGGCAACGGGCGCTGCACTTCTGGCTCTCCCTGTGTGCCCTCGCTATATTATGGGTACTCGCTTTTAGCAGCAGCGGCAGCAGCAGGCGGCTCTAATCAGCGGCACGCACACTTGGAGGGGCGGCAGCGGCAGCAGTATCCCTGCGTCTCGCTCGCTCTGCCTCTGCTCCGCGTCTCAGCTCGTGCACTCGCTCCTCTGTCGCCCTGCCCGTCCGTCCGTCCATCTGACTGTTCCACGCCCGCGTTTGTTGCGACGGTACGCGACGGCACGCGACGGCATGTCTGCGCGCGTTGCGAGCGCGCAGGGTTAGTAGGGGTCGTCACACTCCTCTGGCTGTGATCGTTTACACCTCTCCGGCGGATGGCCGTGCACCTGCTTCGCCGCATTAAATGGACGCGTAGGGGCAGGCGGTCCCTGGGAAGGAAGGTGCCGATTCCAGTTTTTACAATTACCGTACCAAAACGCTGTGAGCTGGCAGGAAGCTATCGTTTAGATTTTGTACGCACGGCAAGTTTGTTTTTTCTTCCTGTCATCTCCCCCGCCGCACCAACCACCACCTCCCCCCAAAAATAAAAATAAACCAGGCTAACCTTTCTCCTTTTTGATTTATAAAGCTATAATTTCCCCAGATGGCTCCATCTTCATCCTCTCCGTTATATTTTATATTGTTTGACTTTGCCTTATTTTGCTCAACCTGCCAACCCCTGTGATATTTATTTTTCGCCTCTCCTCTCCGAGTCCGTCCCTGGTCTCTCTCCGCGTGCGCAGCGCTGGGCGGCGCTTCGGCCTCGCTCGATGAGACGCCGCCAGCGAGCGCCGAGAGCGATCGCCGCAGGGCTGATGATGATCCCGAAGTCGAGAGGTCGTTGTGACCAACCATGTCGATGTGGCTTAACCTCGCCGTCGATTGCCCCCCCCTCTGTTGCGTGCGTGTCGGTTCGTGCTGTGCGACCGCCATGAGTTCGATGCGTGATCACCAGCGATGGGGTCTCTGGGCTCTCAATCACCGCCACTATCTGGCTCCGGGTCTTTTGTTCCCCATGGT